TATAGAATGAAATTACTTAGGTGGTGAAAAATAATTCATTATTTCGGAATAGACTTTGTTAACAAAAGGATAATGTATGTGGTTTTTTTTTAATACCATATTATTGTAGAATAAATGTTTGTTGTTATGGTATAACTTTACCATAACAATAAACATTTAAATATTATTACTTATAATGATAAAATTATATTAGATATTTTTAAAAATGGTATAAATGATATGTTATCATTGCTTACATTTATTGCTTATTGACGATAAAAATTTGTCAGTTTAGTCAAATTTTCTCCACAATTTTGATCAACATTTTTGTTTTAGCAAAAGCAGAAAAAAAAATTTAATCCCTGTATCTTTTCATTTCAATTTATATATTTAATTATCCGATATCAATCATATTGCTCTTATTATTTACTGAATAACGCAATTAGCGACAGCGAAATATGCTAAATTTTTTCGAAATGTACCAATAAAATTTCACGTTTCTTCTCTAATCTCTCCTATATTTATGCTAAGCTGAATCGAATTGTAAAATCTAAAATTTCAACAATTAAAAAAGGAATGGAAGGGTGGAATAAGAGAAAAATATGTATTCATCAGTAATGAAATTTGGAAATCAATTTATCAATTTTTTCATAAAAATTTTTGTGATTTAAAGAGTTAATTACCGTTTGAAGTTAAATATTTGTTCAACTGTGGTAAAAAAGAAAAAAAAAGGATTGAAAAATTGGAGCAAATGTCATTCATATGTGAAAAAGTATTCCTTAAAAATGATTTTTTTCTTTTATTTATTTCATTTATGACTTTTTTAAACATATTTTTTTCCCACTTTATCAGTGATAAAGATTGATTAAATTTTACCAAATAGCAAATGCAGTATTTGAAAATGTCTCTAAATGAAACGAAAATATGAGATAATAGCATTAAAAAATAATTCATTTTTTTTCTACAAAGGAAAAAAAAAAACTTTGCAAAAATGTTATATCTTAAACGGATATAATTTTATTTTTGGATCAATTAAAATTAGCAAACTGATCAAGCAATAAATTATTCGATAATTTACAAAATTATTGCTATTATTCCTTATTACTTTGTAATTATTAAATTTAACTTTATAATATCTTTGTTAATAAGAAATAATGAAATGATAATTTTTTTATTAAAAAAAGGGAAGAAAAAGGGATAATTAAGTCAGTTGCTAATCTAACTTCGTTGATTATTAAACCAAATATTGATTGTAATTTAAAAATTCTATCTTTTGATCTTATTTTTTCTCTTCTATTTCTAGCTATATTTTTTTAATTTTAAACAATAAAGAGATAAAGCAAATAAATAGGCAAAATTCAGTTTAAGATTTTTTTCATTTGTATATTTTATAGTTTACAATACCTATCCTTAATCTTTCTGTTCTATAAGAAAGCGATCAAAAAAAAAACGCAAATTTGTTCAGTT